GGTTACTAAGATACAAAATATTTTGTCCGAAAGAGAATTATCCTAAAAAAGGCATTTTTTAATCAGACCTTTGGTCTAATAAAATAACGAATGGAACACATAAAGTTAATCTGACATGTATTCCATTCGTATTTGTTTACTAAATATACCAACCGAATGGAAATATTAGAATAAACGTCAGTTTTACTGAAGCAAATTGAACCGGACGAGGATTTGCGTTCAAATATATGCATATCTCTTGAAATACAGAATCCGCAGCTCATACCGAGCCTCTCCGAGATACATAAGCGTTTAGTTTCATATGTCCCTGTAAGCTAGACTAGACGGAAAATAATACTTCTATAACGGAGTCGGTTCGTTCTCCAACGTTTGAAAAATTGAGAAACATGTGAGCTAGCGTGACACCTGGGAGTTTTGCAGTATTGAAAACATTTAAGAAGGATCACAGTGTTGAAAATAAATTTACCAAGTGAGTTGCAGGTGATGTACCTTATGCTGCAGGATTACAAACCTTATACATATATATTATATAATATACTTTTATAAATTCAGTAGATTTGTACATAAAAACAAATTGTTTGAATATAAAATATATTTAAGTTAGCCCGTTTTAAATGTATAAATGTGTTAATTGCGGTCACGGACTTCCTTACAAAGGTTTAATGTTGTAAACTTAACTTTAAAAGGGACCCCATTGTTAATCCCCTATTACTCTTGTAGAGCATCTGTTAACTATTGAAATTGAGAGTTTATTTTATATTAAATTTAGGATGTTTTAGATGTCAATAAACCATGCTAAATTTAATACTATGATATTTATATAATTTTATACATCACCGTTACGTCCTTTAAAAACAATTCGCATATATGTATAATACATAATTTTATTAATAGATAGGTTTAAAATATTCTTTTAACTCATTCTATGTTTACCTAAAACGACACTATATATGCGTAAAATCAAAATAAAAATAGCTCGCTAAGTTTATCCCTACTAATATTATAAATGCGAAAGTAACTCTGTCTGTCTGTCTGTCTGTCTGTCTGTCTGTCTGCTACGCTTTCACGCCTAAACCACTGAACTGATTTTAATGAAATTCGGTACAGAGATAGAGTTGACCTTGAGAAAGAACATAGGATAGTTTTTATCCCAGACTTTTGAAAGGTTCTCTTGGAAACGCGATATAACCGAACTCCACGCGGCGAAGCTGCGGGCGGAAAGCTAGTAATACAATATTCCTAAAAAATGGAAGCACCATTTTTTAAAAATTCTTACTTTCTAACTTAGTGCTCCTACACAATGTAAGCTTGTGCATTAAATGGTCGTTGGTAAAATTATGAAACTGTATTTATGTAACTCATAAGTCCTATTTAACATTACCGATCAATGAGCATCATTCGTTGGTTTATGATTTACATAGTTTAACAATGTTTCTTATTAATATGAATTCTTAGAAGCAATTTCTATGGGAACGTGTCTATGTAAGTAACGCAACATTTAATGTTCTCACAAAGTATATTGTATGATTTATTGTTTATGAAAATAGACGGATGAATGCAAGATAAAGGAGAAAAAGTAGACCTTCAAATGTCCGTCTTGTCTTGACGAGGGTTTCTTTTACATCTTGACCCATTGGGATTCATTTTACCTAATAAATTTTATTTCTAACACATATTATTAATATATAATTTTACTTATAGTAAAAAGAATTACGTGGAAAGTAGTCCATCACACATTGTGATGTGGAATCGGTTCCACTTTTCCAAAATGAAATATAATGTTATTTTGTCAGCATTTGCTTAATAGCCGAATAGTATTTGCTTACAATCAAATGCTATGTTTATTTAAAATAATGGCAATAAAAATAACCCTTAATAAATAATCTATTTGACGCCGTAGTTAAAAACTTGTTAAGTCAAATTCAAGATTTTTTTTCATATAAATGATGACGTATCAAAAAAAACTTTGATCGGTCTTCAATGCCAAAAGAATTAAGAGTTATAAAATTATACTTATTACACTATTGTTATTACTTCGTGTACGTGCTGCTACATGTACTATAAATTTGCAATGCATACGTATAATTTAATAATTACATAATTGTGAATAAACAAACCAAACCAAAATCACTATAAAATAATTAATATTTAGATCTAAGATTTTCACGAGTTTTATTCATTCATTCGTTGGTAAATCTTTGTTACAGAGAGCACTACACCTTTGTGATGCTGACCACCTAGAGGCCGATCTGTAGCATGTCAACATCTCAGCATCAACAACCTGTGTCAGCTATCGAGCTGTCTGTGTTTTGACAGCACAGCACAGACTCGACAGCTGTCGACAGGTACATATATGCCGAGGTTAATCCGCGAGGTTATTGAAATTTAAAAAACCCAATTTCAATAGAGAAGATGGCTGGAATCTATCAAACACCTGGGATCATCCTATTAAAAATATAAAATCCCATGTCCGTGACCACACCACAAGACCTCGGGACACCGCGAGCACATTCTGATTCAGAGCGGTACACCAGAAAATTAAAAAATCGATGGCGGTAGGTGATACATAACAAGACCAACTGACAGACACTCACAATCACATCTCGTCTGCCCGTGATCACGGTTACTGAAAAGTAATCGAAACGTCGGGAGTATGTAGTTTTTTATAACAATAAAGTCGCGTATGTAGTATAATCCGAAAAATATTAGTTTAAATTATTAAATCATAATTTTTTGTTTGAAATGGAAAAGAATTTGCGAATAAAAGAACTTTAATTGATATTTATAACATATTTAACAAAATATATAATCTTCTGTGTCTATCACTTAGATAAAGCAAGATATTGTCAGAATAAGCATTTAGATCATAACACAAGTGCAATTAAGACCAATTTTCCGCAAGGAAAGATGCTGTCTTTTATTTTTTAAATGCTATTTGTAGGAAGCTATAGGAAATTTATCAGATAAAAAATCTAAAGCAAACAACAGACCTATTTATCTAACGTTTCGGTGCGATAAATTAACAGCGTTAATGTCTTATAGGGAGGCTTAATGTGTTTTCAATAGCCGTACTCGATGGATTATAAAGATAAGTTTCATCTTCCGATTTAACTGTGGGTCCCTAATTTTAGTAAAACGGCAACAATACTTACTTTAAGACCCGAATATTAAATAGGGAAGGGATTGTCGAATTTGCGAATTGAAATTGAATAAGAGGTATAAGTGCTACATTTTATATAAATTCACTTAGTAAAAGCTAAATCTTTAATATATAATGAGATCTAAGATTTTGCGAGTTTTATTCATTTAAATGAAACTAATATTTTTCGGATATACTACGCGGGCTTTATTTTTGTGGAAAAACTACATACTCGCGACGCTCTCTTTAATATTAAGCAATTATACCCATTCAATTAGACGTTAATAGTTTTATTCTTTCTTAGAAACAGAATTTTTAATTATTATTTTTAACCCATGTAAATATAATATATGTATATTTTTATATGTAAATATGAATCATATAAATTTAAATAGTAGTTGTTAGTTGTAATTAAGTGGACTCAGTAGAATGTAAATAACTATTTTGAAATTGAGTTCGAGAGACCGGTACTAACTATTAACTTACTAACCTGTCTAGTTTAATAAAAGTCCTTAATATTTACAACGACAGCAATAAGCTTGTTTCAATATTTGATATTTTCCTGGAAACTTGTTAAAGGAACTTTTTTAATACAAAGTTTAAAATGAATTAGGAGCAAGAGTTTTTGAATTAATGAATTCTCTATATTTTAAAGTTTTAAGCAATGCTGGTAGTTGGTATAAATAAAAAATATCTAGCTTAATATTTATAAAAAGGGCTACGTACTCGCTGACAGTATTTTGTACCTCCCTAATAAAATATAACGAAAACATATGTATAACTTATTATAAAAGTAAAAAAAATACTTTTAATTAGAAAGTTTTTCACATAGATAACAACGGTAAAAATGAAATCATTTTTCTGAACTACTAGATATTGTATTATTATTAATTTAAATAGTTGATTTCGACCCTGGAACCGAATTTTTAACAATTTCATTTAAGGACCAATGTCGACCATCATTTATATTTCCAGCATAATATCACTACTCCTTTACTCTCTTATAAGCTAAGTATCGTCCAATTTAATTTAGGTTTCTAATAAACAAAAATACGCATCTCCAGATTCTGTAAGCTATGCAAGTCACTATGAGCTATGACCTCGTGTGATGTTAACAATTTTAATTGTATTTAGAAACTCTGAAGATAATTAGAATAAGGTCATATAATTCAAACATGACACTTCAATATAATAAAGTGTATAATAACTAAAAATATGTAATAAACAGTAAGTTGTTCACTGTACATCTTTAATTAAAATACAAGGAGTTAACCTGAAACATTTTCAAAGTATGCAAGTCAATTTGTATATTTATAATTTGTTGTATTGTATTAAACATTGTATGTGAAAACATAATCCAGAGACATAATTTACAATTAACATAACATTTAAATAACGACGCGACGCCGTACAATAAAGGCGTTAACTTGTTGCAAAAACCATTTATCTTTTGTCGTAAATTTCAAAGTTAATATTTCAGTAGAATCAAATTACGAGGGTCGTAAGCTGAGAACATATTGAGGGTTGAGCTATGCGAAATACGCAGACAAACGTCTTATGGCTTGTATGTGAACATTTCCAAGAATTATATCGCCCGTAATGGCGTTACAGTCATTGCTTTTAACTTTAAAATAAATCTTAGATTAACATTAAATGAAATTTAAATTTGTTTTTACGATGTTATGTTATAGGAGATTACACGTATAAAATTAATTAATTTGTTTAAATTAATATTAGATATATCTTGCATGAAAACACATTTAAATTTAAATAATACATTATTGCTTAAATGTATTGTTTTATTTATAACAATATAGATTGAATAACAACTCTTTAGGTAAATATAAAAAATATATTATTATTACTTTTCAGCCAGCCAAATATCAGAAGTACAATCTCCTCCAGGGTACCTTAAAAAGCGAAGTTTTTTAAATTAATATAATATGATGAAAGTAACTGATCACTTACATTATAGAACACCAATTTACTATTGTAAAAAATAATAATCCAAACTCTTTAGGTAATTCTTAGAAAAAAAATTGCCACAATTAGAAAAATATTCGCATTTTCATATTCGCATCGCATCATATTCGCATCTCTTAAAATCATAATATTCTTGAACTAGTTTCAATATAATAATCTTGATTGGGAAAACTTGAAAAACGTTTAAAAATTTACATATTAAGTACCTCATTTCATGCGGTATAACCGGTCCGTTCGGTTCTTTCCCAAAGTCTACAAGAAAATCAGGATCCAATTTTATGCCTCCGTTAACCGTGTCTACGTCCAACTTGACTATCCAACCTCCCTGCATAATATGTAAATGTATATCTCATTAGCATTTGATAGTAAATTTGAATTTTTTGAATGAATTTTTTTTAACATCTTTTAAATACTAATAAGTATTGTAATTATTACGTAAAAGTGTATAAAGAAAATATGTAAAAGTGGTTAATTAATAAATAGATAATCAATATAAACTTAATAAAATATTATTTTTTGGTAATTCTGATTTTTTAATGAATAATAGTTTACCTGCTCCACCATTTGTGGATAGAACTGCTTATCCCAAGGGGAGTAAAGTGATGAAGATACATAAAGACGTTTCCCATCTAATGAGAGTTGCAACATCTGAGGGCCGCCGTATAATTTTTTACTTTTCACTGTAACAAGTTGCGGCACTTCCTAAAATTAAACAACCTTTAATTAGAATCTAATTTCTCCGATAAATTTTAAGTAAAATTAATGACAAAAGATGTTTCACGAATTATCCACGGGCCTTTCGTTAATGCCACTGATGTGTAAAAAGTAATTAGAAAAACTAATGGAATGAATGACAATGCAGAATTAATTGTGTGGAGTCATGAAGCATTAATTTCAACATCTACTCTTTGGTGTTAGAAAATGAGGAATTCTTGCCTTTGACTCTTTATCCTCGATAACTTTAAGGCCATAATTCACAATTTCACCACCCAAGTGTATTTGTCCTGTAAGTTTTGGGTTCTTTGGATCGGAGATGTCATATTGTCTTACATCACCATGAAGCCAACATGATATGTATAAATATTTGTCATCCAACGACAGCAAGATATCCGATATTAATCCTGTATATGAAAAGAAAAAGTTTTTAGCATCACGGAATATGGAAAAAAGTGATAGCTTATAAAAACAACATACCATTAATCAACGTTTCTTTTCCATCTCTGATAACTTTTTTTGCTGGTATATCAATAACTTTGTCCGCTTTCCACTTTCCGTCATTAGATTTGTAAAATCTATAAAAATATGATGATATGTAAGGTATTTGTAATGTTATATATTTTGCATTAAAGATTATATTCTAAAATCTTTACCTGTACACATTCGCATTGACGGCGCACCCTACAAATCCCTCTTCGGATTTAGGATCATGAAGGAATCTGATCTCTAAGGGAGCACTCCCTTCGTTACCCAAATCTATGACTTGTTCTAGAACCCGGGTAGACCATTTATAAACATTTAGAGAACTTCCATATCTCTCCGAGTTAGGAATGTCACCCGGATGAAAACCACTGTAAAAAACAAACACATATATTTTTTATGTTTATAGTAGTAAGGGATACAGTCTTTAATTTTAAACTCTATTTTAGATTTGAATACCATTTATAAGAAACCAGATTAGAAAATTTTATCTTACTAAATACATCAAAATATGTTCACTTTATATTTGTATTATGTAAATACTGCTAATGCAATATTCAAAAACATACGTTTTAAAGTGTTTAGGGGTTCCCCATTCAGAAGCAATCATGACATCGTGGTAGGGTTGATACCAGAAGTCATAACCGAATTTAGCGATTTTTTCACCTCTCGTCCATGTCCCTAAAGAGAATTTTATATTAACATTTATTTTGAGATTTTAGTCTTCCCCACATCAAATTGATCGAAGGGTCCAAACCACTTACCTGTCACTTTCAAAGTTTTGGAGTCAATGAGCACAAAATCCCCCTTTCCGTTCTCGTTTTTATCTCCCATCGTTGAAATCATAATTTCCCCGCTTGCTAGACAATGTGTCGTGTGAGGAAATGTGCAATTGAATGACCTCATCTCAGAACCGTCAATCACCTGTAACGAGAGTTTAGATGATAAACATATTATAATGTTGTTTGTGTATGTAAATTCGGCTTAAAAACTTTATGTTCTCACATGAAAGTTTGCTATCACCTCATAAAGTTTGTGTGAAAATTAATTACAATTTATAATGGAAACCGAAACTTTATATTGAAAAACAAGTAATTAAGTTTAATATATCTTAAATATCAGAAAGTTATATTTGTTTATGAAATAACAACAGTATGTTTCAATTGTTTATCCCAAATGCCTTACAAAAATTGGGAATAATTTTTTGATGATCCAATTATTTAAAAATATAAATAAAGCAAAAGTAGTTGGATAGCTAATAAGAGTAAAATAGTTTGGTGAGAGTTGAAATGTTCAAAGTTTAACGACAGATTCGGGATGACTTCAATGGAGGTAGATGTAGCGTAATTTCACTTTAGAACTATGTGGTGTTCAGTGGGATAATAATTATAGTAGAGTTGGGGTATGATCGACTAAGCGTAGTAGGACGTGCTTTGATCATTTATTGCATAGCTGGGATTATTAGTGGTAACCTAATATCAGGTAACAATATTTAATTGATTAGTTCTCCGAGGAACGGCAATATGCTCAAAGTACTTAATTGTGTTATAATTGGCAATTAGTTACTCGTCTAACTTATATTGACTTTGAGATAGTTTGATCAATTTTGATTGTAGGTATAGAAAATTTATTACTTCTACATCTGTTTCGGTGAATATGCCACTATTTAAAAGAAACTTATTGATAAACTCATTGAAAACTTTCAACATTCAATCCTGTAATAAAATGTTAATTTAAAATGGAACATCATAAATTACATTTAATTGAGAAATACTTGAAGTATGTACGTCATAAAATAATAATTATTATTATCAAAGCTTCATAAGTACTCTAAAATATTTTAAATTATACTTCAACAACTATTATTTAATATAATAACGTGTAATATGTATGATTTATAAGACGTAATATATCTATATTGATATTCAGAACACGTCACGGATTAATATAATATTTATAGTAAAACTACCCAAGTAATCCGAAACATAAAAGGAAGGAAATTAAAAAAGTTAACCGTTCCATTGACATAAAAATTAACTTTTACGAGTTTCGTATAGGCGATATTCAGTCCGTGGTCGCGAAGCGTACGCCTTCAACTTCACCGGCGAACGCAATATAAATTTTACGACAAACAAATTGTTTCCTAATATGGAAATATTTTAAAATTTTATAATACATATAGCACGGTGAAGTTATAGTTATATTACAATAGGTATAGTGAGGTTTTGACTGAAATAGAAGCCTCCATTCTCAAGCCTCCAAAGTAATATGTATCGTATCTTGTCCAGAGTGATATAATAAGTTTTAATGAGTTCTAAGAAAAAGTTTACATTTGTGAACGTACCTTATAAAGTTCTGGTTTTCGGGGATTGGTGCCAACATCAACAGCAAAAACTTTGCAGGAGTGCAGTCCTGGTAGAATAAGGAGATTCCTTTTAAGATCTGGATTGTCATAGCAACTTGAACATACATTCCATCCACTGTGATGTAATTCGTCACCAACACTGCCAGTGTACGTGCGGTGGATTACCTAACAAAAGCATTTCAGGAATTGATTTATTTCGACATACTATGTTATGTAGAATAAATAAGAAATAAATATAGATTAATAAATGTGTTTTTACATACGAAGCAAATAAAGCTATTTATTTTAAGTCTTCTTAATGACCGCTATATAAAATGTTTTAATGCAAAATAACTACTTCACTGTAAATAAAAACGTCTGCAAGATAAAAAATATCCTTTGAAAAACAAATCCGTATCCAAGATATATTGGATTCCACTTGTTAATTTACTTTCACGTTCCTACCAGTATATACAACGATACTCTAGCTGAACCCTAAAATCCTCTAGGATTACCGGGACGTTATTGCCTCGCTACGACATCGCTCCGGATCAAGCGGACATTCGTACAATTTTATTTGCTAATATCCCAGCTAATTTAGCTCTGAACTCTTTTGTGTTTACTATATTTTCTTCATCTCGGCACTAACAATAACACTCTTACAGTCTACTATTACTCAGTAATAAATATATTTTATTTTAATTAATATTGCCATGGATATGTTATAAATACGCATATGTCGGTACTGTTATCAATTGCACACTTCGTACAAATTAATGTATTTAAAATACGAATGTGGCTATTTAATTTAGGATAAGTCTTTTTACTAATATAAACTAGTGAAGTTTGAACTGTAGTTCAAGTTTGAAACCGAGTTTTCATTGGACGGTCCACTGAATTGTTCAGAACAAATGTTTGTCTACTCGATCGACGTTTGGACAGGTTTGAACGGGAATATTCAGTTCTAAAGCTCTGGCTCAAATATATCTTTTCGGATTTGAAAAAGTTTTAAACGAAAATTCCGAAAGATTGATAACTCCGCGCTGTAATTGTACTGTTTTAAATATATTATTATTTTATTTTTGTTACATTGAACATTTCGTTTCAACCTTAGAATTAAATATTTGTAGTAGAATCATTAAAATACCCGGTTTCCATTATATTTATATAATTTACCTGGCTGTAAGTGGGTGATTTAGGGTCTACGTCCACAGTAGCGAGGTAGTCCTGTTTAGTGAGGTCTGGTTGTACACACACAACGTAAAGTAACTCCTCCCTGGGGCCGTTACGGAATGCGTCTAGTGGGGTTGCGTATCCCGGACCCTTACCTGTGGAAAATAAATTATTATTGTTCCGCAAACACGCTAGGGGAAAACTTTAATCTAGCTATAATTTGTTTTAGGACTTTTTTGTCAATGTTGTCGAGAACACTGTTTTGACTGATTTGATTAGACAGAACATGGAAAATGAAAAGATATATCATTCAAAGAGATACAATTATTTTTATGACATATTTTATGTGTCATAAAAATTATGTAATTATTTTTAGCGGTACCCTTTATTCCAGTGAGGTATTAATAGTTACGTACCAGCATTGTACTAACTAAATAATTTAATCACATCGTTTTTATTTGACAGTAATTTTGTGACTGGTGTTACATAATCTTAATTACAACAATATTTTTATCTCTTATCACTTTTAAGCTCTAATCTCCGAATTATTGTTGTCATTAAATAATAATAATGAACGTCTTAAAATATTATTTTTTCCAACTTAACTGCACCTTCAAATGTTTACAGTAATGTAGCTTCCAGCAGTGGAAAGTATTATAATAAATTGTTTTACAACTTTTGTCTAACAGTCTAACATTCACAACTCCAGCCATATTTCATAATTTTATTCTATTAATACAATTATTTTTTGTCTACAAAATTTTTAATCCTTTATATGCGCAAAACCGAAAATATGTATTAAATTATATTTAATCCAAGTATTTATATCGTAACATAAAATAATGCAGTAAGCATTAATAAAAGTATTTTATGAAAAGCGATTTTGTATTATTTTAATTTTGTTTTCACATTCATAAATCATTTGGATTGATTAAAGTTTTTTACTTTTTTATAGAAAAAATATAGATTCAAAGATAATTAAACAATTGCTATGTATCTATATTAACATTTCAGATTCATTGCCAAGATAAAAGGATCCTCATTGTTTGAAACTTAATTGACTTTAAGTAGGTATCTAGTGTGTCTTACAGTTGCTACAATAGACTTAATTCAATATAAACAAGAACGAACGAACTCCTACGTATTATTTATAGCAGATACAATGAATTGAATTTATGTTACAGTATTAATCAAAATCTTTGTCAATAATTTATTATTTTTTTAAAGTAGTCTTAACATTGTAGTTTTAAAACGGGCTCGTAAAATTGAGTAAACATAACAGGTTCCTCATGTTTGCATATAAATAACTCCTGCAGTTAGTGGGTATAATCACATAAACTGCTATTATTGTCTACGCAGAGGTTTTCTTTTAGTATAATAAATAAATCTTTATAAAAAGCTACTTATTGATCTTGTTACAAATAAAAGATTTAAATTAAACCCCGATGTTATGTAATTCTCTGAGTTCTTTTGTGCTTGGTGATTTAATTAAAAATAAACAAAAATAAAAAGCAACGATAAACAAGAATCTTTCGATAATATTTCTGTCAAATCACGTGTTTATAAATCGAGATATTTTTATCAATGTTAAATATTAAAAAAAACATATTTATCTGCTCTTTAACTATAAGAGATAAAACACCAAATTGAAAAGTATTTTACCCATATAAATCGAATTTAGGGTTCCTTTGGCATGGATCATGTTATGCACCCCTACGCAATCACTTTCTCTGGCACTAGTGGAGATAATACCGCATATTTATTATATGGAGTCCCTCAAAGGTTTTTGCTTAACCCAATTTAATGAATCCAAGCAGTTCGTAAATAGGGAGAAACATACAGAATTTGATTGCCTTTTCGTTTTTCTGATTTTTTGGTACTAACTGAATAATTAATTTAATTAAAACTGAGGTGGTAGGATATTCCATGTTCGTAATTTTTATGGTATACAATATATCATAATTAAAAGAGCTAATACAGAAACTATAAAATAGATAAAATTTTTGGAAGCAAACAAAAATCTCTTAATAAATTTACCTAGTGGTAAACTCGCTATCGTTTTTAAATTCGTGTGATTAATATTTGACCAGTTTTTATATTAAATAGCAAAAGTTTTAAGCCTTTTTTATAAATTAAAGAACTAAAAATATGTATAAGAAAATTAAAAAATAAAGTCATACTTTAATTAAAAGCAGCCCTGCAGAAAATATTAGTAGGAATGCAGGAATAAATATTTTAGTATCGTATCGTACCAAAATACATCAGCTTTAAAGTACGTGTGTATGTATAATGTTACTAAATGGGTGAACCGATTTGAATATTTTTTTGTTTGCATTTGTGAGGTACACCAAACATTTTAGATTCACAAATCAGCCCGGCAGATAACGTTACTGACTGCAACTGATTGATACTGATCAAGGTTATATAAAATAAAAGTTACTATATATTATACACACTATTGTTTTAACACACTTTATATATTCTCTCTGAATTCAACTTCGATGTTCATGTGGATGGAGTCGCAGGCGAAAACTAGTAATTGTATATATTTACTTTATTAAAATAAAGAAATTAATTTTGAACGGGTACACATAACATCTCAAATATTGTAACAGATTAATCAAATACTTTATTTATTTTCTTAGCAACATTAGATAACACTTAATCTAAGCGTAGTGATACAAACAACTTGTGTTTTTTGTTTGGACAACGTAAATAAATAAAACTGTCTCGACCGATAAAAGTAATTAGTTGAATCATTCAAGAATATTATCATCATCATCATCATCATCATCAGCCTATCAGACGCCCACTGCTGAGCAAAGGCCTCTTTCTCACATGGAGAAGGTTTTGAGCATTAATCACCACGCTTGCTCAAGACGGGTTGGTGATTTCAAACTTATAATTGTGAAACTATAAGTCCAGGTTTCCTCACGATGTTTTCCTTCACCGTATGTCAGTGATGTCTAAATACTCTCAGAAAGTACATATGACTCCGAAAAATCACATTGGTACCTCTGCCAGGTTTGAACCCGCGCCCTCGGCAACTAGAGGCGGGCCCCCCAAACCACTAGGCCACCACTGACTATTATCACAGGTTATAAATATATTTTCTTCCCAATATATTATTATTGACTAGAAAATCACTAATAAACGTAAAATAAACATTAAATAACTTACAACACGCCATCTTGAACAGTGAACCGGACTCTGCGGTATTACACACACAATAAAACGTCAATCTTGACAACCATTCGCTTTTGACACGAACTTCTTATAATGTTCACCGTCTCTTTCTAACAGATATTATAATCACTAAAGGTGACGAAAATTTGCACGCATGATATCAAATGTATATTTTTTTAGATACATATTATTTATTCTGATCGTGACTCTGCGTTTCTAGAAAGATAAATGAGTAGTTAATATTACAATCGTGTTTTTTTTTGTTTACGAATGTTTGTTGCTCTCTGACAATGATGATTTTTTCAAGTCATCTTGCTTGGACTTAATAATAATATGTATATATTAATGTATACTATAATTTATTTTAAAAGTACTTATGATAATTGTTAGTACTTACTGTAATTATTACAACACTATTTTCTTACGTGACTGACTGAGTTGCCAGTTATTTATATCTTTGTTTTTGAAATACATTGTTCATCTATTTCTGAATTTAATTGTTAGGATGACGTGGATGAAGCATAGAAAAAAATAGTTTTTCGACTGAACACAAATTGAAATCGACATTGAATTATTTGGCATTTAATGTCTGAACGCATCAAAATCATTAAATACAGGTTGAGAGGTATTAATTTTGAAGTAATTTGAGCAAAAAATACGCCCTTAATTAAAATATATTGTTATTATAATATATTACTTTATTTTGTTTTATATTAGGAATTCAAGCAATCTATTCACAATACGGTATTGAATGGTGCCAATCAGTAAAACCAAATATAACGTAAATTATGTAGGGTGACAAGCGGAGGTTCCAGGAAAACAACGAAACATATGTATATTAAAATAAGAATACCTTTAATCAAAAATAACATGATTGCCCCCATATTAGGATGAGAATAACATTCTACTGCTTGTATGGTGTAAGGAATCTTCTGGTTCACACGCCTTGGTGTTCATTCCTCGGAGTCAGCAGCATCACTCGTTATATGATATTATACCCATACAAAGATATCCTGGCGACATTCATTATTTCTTCGTATGTATCGGCTACGTTTCACGTGAGTAAATGAAAGAAAAGAAAATAGTTTGCAATTAGCCAAAACTTTTATCAAAACTATTGCCAAGATTTATACTTCATGTAATATGTAGAAAATGATGATAAACGCTTTATTTTGTTTATTTTTTTAATATTAAAAACGATTGTTAATATTATTGAAAATAATATTATTGGAAAGAGATAGAAATATTGTATTTGAGCACTTGTTATCCACACTGGGAACTCGTTTAATTAAAAAAGTTAATGAATATCGCCGGGACAACACGATTATAGGGATAAAATATGATAGAATTGATAGATTCCCAGTATCACATTAGAAACTAAATGTATTAGTCTCCTAATATCAACAAAAGATGCGTTAAAGTTAAAAATTACATTTATATGTTAGTTTATTCCACATTAACATTTGATTTTTTATACAAACCTAAGGAGAAATTTTTCTTCTATGAAAGCTAAAATGAAATAAATATATCTAACATATTCAAGTCACAGATCAAATAAAAATTGTCAAAACAATAGATATATATTTTTAATATGTTTCATATTATTCATAAAAACTTATAAGTAGTGTTAAAATTTATATAAAAAACAAAATAACGAAAAAACAAAGACAGCGAAGAGAGTAAAATTCATTAAAATCTATATTTTAAATATTTTTTAAACGTTACAAATAATTATCAAAGTCATTTTGAATCTTACAAAGATAATTAATTGAACGGTATCTGATTTAAATAAAACTATTTTATATATTTTATAAATGTCTATTCATAAGCACTTAGGTACATAAGTAATTATATTGTACACGATACAAATACTCATATTTACAAACGTGATTATAACAATTACTATTTATATTTTACTTCTGTAACAATCCTTTAGTATTTAAATTGGAAGGGTTTTAACTATGATTGCAAGAATTTAATTTCCTTTGAGAAAATTCAAATTACAATAAGAAATTGGTAGCATATCTCCTTTTCAAATACGTGAGCAATGTTGTTATTCGGAGAGCGTCGTATCGTTAAGACTCTGAAAGGCAAATATACTACACAATACTATCGAAGGAAAAACTAAGATTGATACATTGTACATACGTGATTTGGAAACTAAGGTTTATAACTCATTTTAGAAACTGTAACTGTATTAGGTTTCAGTTTTATTGTCGTATAGTTTTATTAATACTTACTATACTTTCATAACTTAGTGTTAATAATAAAAATAACTTTAGTTGTAGGTATGTCTATTTTACACTTTATGATTTTTCTTTCTATGCTTATGTGTATTTTCAGTGTCCTTTAATATTCGACGTAAGCTTGAATGCTGATGAAACTGATGCCGAATTGAAATGTGTCTACTGATATTTTTGAAAAGTATATGCCATAATGCTGAATCCTTATTCTTCCACAATAAATCGGAGGTCTTTTCCTTAATCCTACGCATATTTTCTTCCAGTCTCCTAGCTTGTATTTCCATTTGTATGAGCGAGCGGGTCGTATTTGTTAAAAGCCGGTAAAGGTATTCTTTTCTATCTGCTTTTCCCGGAACGGTCGCATTTGTCATCAGTCCGTATTCAATGTACTCTGACTCTTGAATAACGCTTATTGCAGTTCGTTTGATTTTATTCCGTAACAGGATACCAGCGACTAATGTTATGAGAATCAAAACGATGATCGCTAAGAGCTTTGCATGTTTGTATAATGGATTCGATATAAAATGCATGACAATGATAACTACATATCTCGTAATAGCTATGATTCCTTTTAGATGTTGTCGAATTATGTGCAACAAGTCATGTGCCGGACGCGTACCGCGTACGGCGCCCTCTCGCGACGTGAGCGCAAACGACACTGAGTCTAAAAACACGCCGGTGCGTCGCACCCTTCGGATTTCACCAATAACTTTTCCTCTGGGAAGTGGGAAGAACGACGCCATGGACATGGCATTTATTTACGTTTTGTATTAAAATAGGTTCAATAAAAACGTACTATGTAAATATGTTTGAGAAAGAAAACGAAATAGAAACGCCTGATGTAAAACAAATAATTAATAATGTAACTAAAAATATATGTTAAGCAAACATACAAAATATTTAGCATAAAATGAATGAAGTTAGTTTAGCAATGAATACATACCGGCTTTATATATTTTCCTTCAGATAAACTATTAGATACAAGAATTCCTATAGTACAGTTAATGTTTATAATATTCCTAACTCTCTGTTATTCTGCGTAAGTGGAGATGGGGAGGGCGTATACTTACCTCACCTCTTATAATGTTTTCTAACACTATCTCCCTACTATCTTTATTATATCTATTGTGCAGCCTTTTATATGAGAATGTCTGCGACACTTTTAACAAAAAGCGGCTGAGAATTTCGTAAAGAGATGTCGTTACTTATTTACATAAAATATAAAAACTTTTATGTTTTTATGTTTAATATTTACTGAATATTAAAAAGAGTAAATAAAAAAATAAACTATAGGCTTGGTAACCCATGACAGTGAAACAATACCGTTGGGATTAAAAAAAATAATTTGAAGTGACACCGCTGGCCCGGCACTGCTGACGCCAGTAGATAAGGGACCCTTTCTTTCAACTTAACTGTCTTGAATTGATTTTTGTAGGCGTCTTAAAATATTTAACAGCTCTCAAAAGATGTTACAAGTTTTCCCTAAGGCAAAGAAGGCCTATCGATTACCAACCAGTTTTTAGTCCTGAATCCTTATGAAAGCGTCTGAGCCTTTGTACTCCAAGTAACGTAAAGTCCATTAATGAATAATTCATTATATATATAAATAATTCAGTATAGAAATATCTAATTAACACCTATTGATGGATGGATGACATTGAATCAACATTTAGATTCCAGTATTTTAATTCCTAGACCGTATACTTTTGAATAAACTCACTATAAAGTATAAAACAAGGTAAAGAGAAAGTTACTGTCATCAGCAATGGAATGTACTTTTATAAAATGTATTCGATTGATCAATACCCTGATGTACACATGGTAGGAACATTGCGATAATAATATATTTAACAAATTCAATTAATGCTTATTCATAACTGTATTAATTAAATATTTTTATATCATATTATGAAAATAATATATCATCCTTTAAGATTTTTTTTTTCAAATCTGTATTAGTAAAACATTAAAACATCCCCGTAACAAAATTTTCTTTGGGGAAACCTCGATTTTAACTAATATGTAGAGGATAATTTTTAATTAACATTTAAAATTCGTTCCACAGAACAGTGCTTGCGAATTCTATGCATACTTTGACAAGCCAAATGTGTGATGCCCTGGATTAATTTGAAATAGCCTGATATAATTTCCCATTAACCAGTACCCCTCGGCTTTAAATACTCTGCCGTATTGGACGTTTGGGAGACATTTTGAAGGGTTGTATTTGCTGACGCCACGTATCGCCTCATATATAACATAGTTGTTTATTGTGTCCATATTATAAAATATGTGACACTAGGGTTACAGGATTTGGAAGTATAAAAAGGACAAAATCATATTAATGGGTCATTGTAATTTTTTTTAGCTCAACTGAAATACTATATTAATTTATTTTTTGTATATAACTCCTACTCAAATATACCCATCATAAATAGACCACGAATAAATATTATAAATTCGTGATTGTGCAAGCTGATATTGTGATTATAAAATATTTGCCTATAACGCTTTGTGCGGAGGTATTTTATTCACCTTCGAAATTAAAATATTCTGTATTGGAAATACGAAAAATATAGAATCCAGTTAACGAAGCGGAGGATTTTAAATTCAGTTAATATATTTGAATGCAATTGATCGCTTTTTACGCTTTGACTTCCCGGTAGCATTCATGCGTGCCATCATGAGTGGTAACTAAAGCACCTACAGACCGTTTAATATAAATATTAGTTTAGAGCCATGTAGTATGTGGTTCGCAGTTCAGAGACTATTTATGTGTTCCGAAAGTAGTTTGGATTAAATTTTTATTGATTGTAAGCTGTTGAAATATATTTTTTTAAAATTATATTTATGTTTCAATGTACTCTAACCTGTAATAGATTTAATATAAAAAAATTAGTAAATTCTGAAAAATTTTCTGAAAATAATTTCTGTAAAGATTTTATGTCGATGTCAAAATTTATGTCACATATCATTTTCTCATTCGGTAAAGTTCTTTATATGATTGCTAAAGAGACGAATTTATAGCAGCCGAGTTTCGAGTTCACTGTTTTACGTGATCTGATTTTTAACATCAAGAGCTTTCAAAATTGTTAACCTTTGTATTTCACAGTAAAATATTAATCTTTTATCAAAAGTTATTAGGTCTCAATCTGATAAACTACTACACTAATTAGGTACTTATTGTATGCCGGCACCTTTGTAACATGTATTAAATTTTCTAGTACATTTAACTTTTTTACTAATTATTATAGATGACATATTATAAGAAGACTAACTGGCAGGCGCTTTTATTTCGTCTGCCCATGATTAGGACTTCTGCAAAAAAATCGAAACGTCGGAAAAATATAAGATATAATAATAAAACAACGTACAAAATCAGAAAAAATAGATTCATTTTAAATGTGCACAAAATATATGATAAAACACTATATTTTCAAAAAACTGTGGAGGCGCCCACAACCTCTAATGCAAACACGTTTGGTTATTCAGTACAGACTGACTTTATTAACGTTAAGCACAATGACATTTCACAATAGATGTTGATAGCAGCATATTTAGGTATGTATGTATATTGTATGTATTTTGATAAAATTAAAAAGTCTCGGACATTATATTTTACTTCTGTTACGGATAACAAGATGGGACTATAAAAAAAAACAACAAAAATCAAATAGCATCCAGAGCGGTGTGCCAGAAAGTTAAGAAATCGATGGCGGTAGGTGATACATAACAGGATCAACTGACAGACATTCATATCTCGTCTGCCCGTGATCACATAGTATAATCCGAAATATATATTCGTTTCATTTGTTAAATCATAATCAAGAAACTATTACATTTTTGAGAAAACTACTTTCTAATAGAAAAGTATTTACGAATAGAAAAACTATAAAAGATATTTGTAATATATTTAATAAAAAATATAATCTACTGAGTCTATCACTTAACTCACTCAAAAAATTTTAGTTTCATTTAAATGTATATATAAAAACTCACGACAGCCAGATCTCATTAACAAATAGCATAGCCTATAAGTGATCTTGAATGATTATTATCTAACGTTATCAATAAAATGAATTGTAGGGCTAACGAGAAAAGGTGAACGAATTAAAGCAATCGAATTATGCAAAGAATTATGATTCATCGAATATAAAGCAACTGGTCGGACTGATTATAAAAGTGTAAAGGAAGTTTTCTTTATATTAAAATTAATCAGAAATTATTCCAGATAGGATGATAATTACTGTTTCTATAATTAAATATCACAGAGTACGTGAGGAGCTAGCGAAAGCTAAGAATATAATGCTATAAAGGGAAGCAAGTAACAGAATAAGCAGATAACATATGTATATTATCTCCCCTGTTTACATGTTGATTGACTTCGTTCCATATATTTTGACCTCCCAGGTACCTTCCTATAACTAGAATAACCTTTTATCTATAATATATTTTATACACACTTATCAAAATAAGTCTAGATTTTTTTTAAATATAATAATGATCGAAATAAAGGAACTACCTAAACACCCAATTTTTTTCTTATAAATTTTTAAATAGAGATCACAATTTTCCATCACAAAAATTTTTCGTATCCACAGAAAAAAATAACTATTCTTTCGGTTTAAACGGCTAACCATTTACAACTTATAAATCGAAGTAAAAAATATTAGGAAAAGTCTAAAATTATACGCAAATTAATACACACAAACAACAATGTTTTCTGTTTGTACCTACCTGATAATTCAATTAAATAGGTAGACGATAAGATGTTTTTTCATATCGATGTTCACCAATACTTATTAGAAAAATTTCGAGTGAATCTTCATAATAACTAATATATTAAACATCTCGTCATGTTTGCCGATTGTTTCGCTTTAGTAATCACAATTTCGTATCACAGTCAATCACTGAGGTCTTGTTCATCTGGGAGCGTATCATAGGTAAATTTCATGCAATTTCTTGTGCCTGCAGGCAACGAAATGACATGCGGGACGCTCGTGTTATGTCGATGTCAATAATGTTGGTCCCCGAGCTATATTGTCGCATGAATATAAAAGCCGAATAAAGAGATATATCAGAAAATGTGTTTGTCCATTTTCTGTGTCCATTATCGCTATAGGACATAAATGTTTACCAAACTATCTTTCTCATATTATATACATAAGTATTTCAAATAAATAAATGTGTCTAAAATGGTATATTTATGTCATTTATTTATTGTATAAAACAATTAAGATTTTTGAGTTTCCGCGATACTTATATAGTTTTTTTATTTTTATATTGTTTAAATCAATTTTAGAATTATATGCCATCGTAAAATGTCAGTACATCTCATTGAATATATTTAATAATATGCACAGTATTAAGACTAAAAAATTCTTTATGCTATAAAAGTAGAGGCGAAGAAAATAATTTTTATGATACTCATATTTTTATGTTAATACAGCCAAGGCAGAAGATTAAATTCCAAAACACACTCTCATAAATAAGCCACTCGTAGTTGTAATGCCTTTTATTTTATGAAGGGGAAAATATGTAATTTATAAACACATAGAAACAGTCATATGACATGTATACTACTCGATAATAAAAGCAAAAGGTTAAAACACGACATACACGTGTATACATACTCGCATGTTCATAGAAACAACAGCTGGGTTTTCTCAAGAGATAATTAAATTCATATTAATAACGTTTATTTTAATTTAGTCGAAAATTTCGGAGTTATAAGTAAAGTTAACAACAATAAGAAAACATTGATAGAAAAATATTTTGTGAAAATATCAAAAGTTTTACATGTTCAAAGTATTTGAATATTGATATTTAGTTTAATTATACATATTTGATGTCTCAAATTTTGTTCTAATAATACCATTTATTTATGACAATTGTGGTTTTGACGAAATTTGTCTTGATGGTTTTTTTGGGCTCGACATATTACGTCTTGTCCAGGATACGCCTGTCTCAAATATAAGGAAAATTAAAGAGAAAAAACATTTTTAAAAGGAAAGCCTTAATATTATTTATAAATTGAGAATAAAGACATAACATAATAAATAATGCCATGACTTTTTTCGAAAATACTTAGGTGACATGTAACTTTTATTTTATATATGGGTAATAAAAAAAAATAACGATTAGTAAAAAAGTTTTCATGATTTGAATTTATGAAAAAATTTATCAAAATTATTAAAGACTGTAAAAGACTTATTTATTAATTATACAAGTTTTTTAAATTTTAAATCGGTGGTGTCATACATTAAAATTCATTCCATTGTTCATATAAACCATTTTAAAAATTTAAGTGAAAAACTTTCTTTCAGTCGTTATTTATTTAGCAAAACAAAAGTAGTGGTAAATTGTTGGAAACAAGTGGCGACAAGAAAAACACAGAAGTTGGGTCATTACGTCCGCCGAACGGGCTTGAGTGCGAAGTTCGCTCCATTTGCCCTCTCCCACTAAATTCAACCCTCGCTCCAAATTCGAAAGTGTTAACATCTTTCTTAACTTTTCTTACTCAGTGAATGGGTTTGTGAAAATGCATTTTAATAAATATAGTTTTATTTTTACAATGTTATTTGTTTTTTTGAAAGGAAATGTATATCGTTACTTAACTTCCTACTTAGGAAGATACTGTTTTATAAGAAATCCAAGACAGTTTTTATTAATATGGTGTCCGCTATTTGTGATAGTCATTATAAATTATGCGTCTTGGAACGTTCTGGGAATCGTTATCAATTAAGGAAAGCTTCATAGATGCATAGAGTTAATAATTTTCCTATTTTTATTTTGGTTTAGTAAAAAAGAATTCTAATAATCAAGTCGTCGTTTTCTCTTATCTTAAACAACATTTTTTTTATTTAAAACAACATTAGTCATAGTTATTTTTTTTAAATAATTAGTTATAATATTTTTATAAAAAAATAAACATTAATACAAAGCTCCTTAAATCTATTAGCTTAAATTATGTTACTTTTTTGCCCAAACGTTACTGGCTTTGACGTTGTTATAATATTTAAAGCCGTCATTCACAATTTTAAATCAGGCTTTAGTATTTTAATAATAATGTCGGCTTAACGACAAAATATAATTTCGTGTTAACAATTTATTTTATCCCATTCAAAGTTGTTCAATGTATTTAATACCAAATAATTTCAATTATCATATAGAATTTGGAATAAAATTTAGGTATAGTTACTTAATTCAAACGAAGACTTGGTCTGTAGCAATATAAAATATCCGACCATCATCTCTCGATCAGATTTACTGAGATTTTTTTCATTACTTTATTGTGTACGCTCAATCTTACACTCGTATAAATTGAAAATTCAATCTCTTCTGCCAGCATTAATATTCTGCAGGTGTGAATGTATATTCTCGATGCAATATCATCGATATGGAATTCCTATGTTTCGCGTAGCAAATATATTGAAAATATCCAAGTTAACGTCTCCCGGGGTGCAGGTGATACGACATGTATGATTGTGTATCGATTTCAACGTCAGATACTCAAAGTAATCCGTAGATGTTGAAGTTTTACGCTAACTACATAGAATATAGTATTATATTCTATAAAAAATACGAAAGTATATAACTATCATTGATCATTACAGAAGAATAACAGCTAATATATTGCAAAATGTATAAAGTTATTTGGGAAATTATATTTTTTTTTTTGTGAGTGTTTAAGGCTACAAGACGTTTATTTAAAAATGTCAGTTATTAGATTGTTAAATAAAGCACATGAATAATACATAGTTTTGATTTCATTGTTTTATTTTTATTGATAAATCGTTTAATCAAATACTAAAATGAAGCAGTAGCATAGTTATAACACAATCCTAAGTTAAATAGATAAAAGCAAGACTCAAAATAATAAATTATGAAATTGATTCAAATAAAAGGGCTGTTACATTTTTCGTGAAATGTTAATGTAATCATAAGTTTGTATATACATACTAAAATATATTAACCGGTTTTATTTTTAATGTACAGATTTTTTATTGGTTAAAAATTTTGATTGTGATAGTTGGGTGAAAAAATACAATCTTTATTTTAAACATAAAAAAAAATTTGCAACAAACAATTTTGTTACATTCAGATTTAAGTATTGTATAACATTGAACTATTTCTTATTTTAATCTTTTAGGACTTCGCGTTATCATAGACAGTATAATTTTGAAATGTCTTTAACAGACTCGATTTAATGAATAAATTCATGCAAAATCACTGAAACACGGCCAAGTTATACGAACAAACTGGTCTTAAGCAAAATTAATAAAAGTTTATGAAAAAGAATTTATTACTCTTTTTTATTTTTTTAACCAGCAAGAGGTGGTGTGTACTAAAAGAGGTAACAAATTCAACAATAATAAGCAGTCAACATCTATTAAGGTTCACTTCTCAAAAACGGAATTAATTCATACTGGTAAGCTTGTATATTGGTAATGATAAAAAATATAAAGATATCTAATCTAAATATTTCAAGTAACTTTTCCAATTCCAAATAAACATTTAAGTCTCCTAACACTTATTAATTGTTCTTATGACTCCTTGTAATTCTCTAATGAAACTAATGATCTCGTCTGCCCGTGATCACGGTTGCTGAAAAGTGGTCGAAACGTCAGGAGTATAATATAGTTTGTAATCAAAAATAAAAACGCGAAGTAAAATCCGAAAATATTAGTTTCATTTAAATGAGTACCTACTCGCGAAAATCTTAGATCTCATTCCTTGTAATTCTTCTGATTTTAACATGCGTCCTGTTCTACAAAGCGCAGCATCACAAAAACAAACTTTTTTTAATTTAGTTTTAGTTTTACTCACATTAATTCCTCTTCTATAAAATCGAGATACATACTATTAAGTAAAATAGGAAGATTAAAAATTAAACAGAATTGAAAATACTTTTAATATTTTAATAAATTGGATACTTACTTCTATCATGAAAAAGGAATCACAAATGTATTTTCATATCACTCAGAAAGTAATAAATTTATTGATACACCTACAGTTTTTCTTATTTTATAGAGGTTGAAAGTTAAGTTAATGAAATAAAGATGTCAAACTGATACAACTATGTACCAACACTTCATTTATTTTCTTCCACCTCGTTAATTTATCTAAAGTTATGAAGATTCTCTTTTGTCTTTGATAGGAATTTCTTCTTAGCTATGATGTATAAATTGTTTTTGTTTGTATAATACAATATATGTGTGTTATATTATATTTAGTATAAGCATAGGTAATTAAAGAACCAATTTTAGGAGTTCACATTTAGGATTTTGTTAAGTAGCCATTACTTACAATTGAACTGCGGAAATTATTTCCATATAATGTTCATTGAAATGTTAATTTTGAAATAGTTTATATTACAATATTAACATAGAATTCTGTTAGTAATGTTCGCTACAACGTTATCCCACAACAGCTATCCGGCCTCCCAACTCTTGATAGTAGAAACAAATGTAGATAACGGTTATTTCCTCAGCTATAAGATCGTTTCCCTAAATGTCGGGCACACTATAAAAAGAGGGCTGTTATGGCCACAGCTTCGGATAAAACCGTCAACAAAGACTTTATTAAGTTGGATAGAAGATTTATTTGATCCTTTTTGTGGCTATCCATAAGATAATAAATTCCGTTTCGCCTTCTCTAAGCTCTTATCAGAGGACAGCTCGACACGCAAATCAAATTAGGGTGAGATTAGAACTGGTGCAATATGTGATCTCAATACGATAGCACTCCGTGACCCATTTTATCACAACAGGATTTGATTATAACACGCGAAGCTTTATCAGTACGATAATTGTTTAAGTTAAATCATAAACAGAACTACACTAGTTTATGAAAATTTATTCTTACGATTTCCATGATGGACACATAAAAACTAATTCCTTAAAAACACTTATCTACAAATGAAGAATCGCCAAAGCCTTAGATATCATTAAATTAGGACAAAATAAGGTTTTAAATAAAATATTGTTATGTTTTTAAATCAATATATTTTGGGGTACAGAAATAATAACGTAATTCGTAGAATTCCTTTTCCTTAAATTATTTTTGATTAATAAATATCACTATATCATAATCTTTAATGGTTTTGAAGATCTTAATTTCATTAATATTAAAATTAAAATATAGTTACTGTTACTTTATATTTCTGTGGGTATTAAAACATTTAACAAATTCTAATTCATCAGTCTTAATAATAATAATCCTATCCAACTACATGTACATACATTAATAATTGAGGTAAAGTTAATCCAAAAATTAATTTAAGTAATAAATTTTATATACATTAATATATTTTTAAGTGTTTGTCATCCAACTTATTACCACTTATATAATATAATGACTTTTATGTTAGAAATTGAGATCAAACGTGAGGTTAATTTTTCACACTCCTTCCAGTGTTTCGCGTGTTGATTATTCATAAACATATCACCAATTTTCAGGGCAGTATTCAACTAACTGCGCCACGGTGCAAGGATGAAGGCAACACTCATCTGCAATTTGGCGCCTGTGCCGCTCCTTTGCGAAAAACATTGCCGCTCTTCGAGATCTCACTTTTGAAAGACTCGAAGATGGAAGATCACTTACTGGTATACCACCAGTGCATATTTGAAATATTAGATTAGAGAGAGATCTACTGCACAAATCTTGAAACACTGTATTCAATGCTAACGAATCTCCACTTATAATACGTCCGTTTATAAACAAAAAGTATACTATCCAGCGAAGTCTCCTTGTTGTAATCGGGCACATTTTTTCTAAAATATATAAGCTAAATGTTTGTTTATTCCGATCAAGAAAAGAACTGGCGTTTCCGTCTAGTGTAAGTCCATCGATGCCTCTGAATAAATAGAATCGATAACCTTTGTCAATTAAGACAACTCTACATTAAGTTCAAAACAACATGTCGGGGTCCTCAAGATTTAAGGCAGATCACACAAAAAAGATTTAATATATTCGAATAATATTTAAAACCGCATTTTAAAAAGAAAAACTATACAAGAGAAATGATTTCAAATTGACGCCAAACGAGTAGACGGCCTATCTGATGGTAAGTGATCATCTCCGCCTATTTATACATATTTACAAGGGTGCATATACATCACCAGGCAAAGGTACGATAATAGTAATTTAAAAATGAATACAAATGATCGGTGATGTTACATGTCAACAGGACTACGAATATTAATCAAGAAAGTTCCATTAAAGTCGCATCACGTGTGATAAGCTTTACGACGTCTCCGTAAATGATTTGTTATTTATAGAATTAAGATAACAACTTGTTTTTAGAGTTTCGTTTGTAGACTACGGGGACATTTGCTCCCTGTTAGCAATAGTTATTACCGATAAAATTATTGACCTCAAATTATGTAAATGATATCACAAGGCCAAAGTAAATTTTGATATGTTTTTTTTGTTTTGTTAGTGACAAATTTCAAAAAATTGTAAGAATCAGCTTTAAATAAAATATGAATAGTTTAATTATTTAATGAACTAGATTAAAACACGAGTAATATTTATGACTAGTTTGATGATAATACAATGTTTTTGGCGCATGACCTCTACTACATAGCTCGTGTAGACTGAGTATTCTCTATCTTCCTTGCACTTTGAACTTTGGTTATTTTTTAAGGAATTCATGTTTCATTTCGTTAAAAGGAATAAAATCTATCGGTATATTGTGATATTGTTTTTATATCGACAAGCATGACCTTATTTTTGTTCATCTTGACAAAATATTATTTGTTTATGTCAATAAATAATACTCAAATCACAGTCGCCTCAATTGTTTGCATATTAATTTATATTGTTAATAATTGATTTTAATGACACATATATTTGTTATAATTTATTATACATTGTAAATAATAAATGAGATGTATTGTTTACTTAAAGGTAAACAATAGCTGATATTTCCATTTAAAAATATTAAGAGGTGCAATGAACATGTTTTGTTGTGTTTATACTCATTTCTTATGAACACGTACTGAGCAGTGAATTCCCAGTTAGCTTATAGAAGGATCATTAGAAATAACTGACTGGTTAGGTCCGATAGCCCTTTTAAGGTTGAGAAAAGGGTTGACAGTTCTTTTGTCACCAAAGCGGTATAAAACAGAAAAAATCTTATTATACAATAGACGGCCCAAAAGTTAAATGATCTTACAGTTAGTCACTTGGAACTTGCTTTACATGTATAAGTACGGACTAGAAGGTTTATAATATCAAATTAATGTGAAGAAAAAAATTATGAGTTTCATGTTAGGAACAAACAAATTCGTTGATGTTTATTAATCGCTGATATGAGAAATGACGAAACTTTGTTATCAAACTATAATGTAAGCATATAGCAGATATAGTAAACAAATTAAATTAAAGAATGACTGAAACAACCTCGTGCCTACAAAGGGAAGATAAAAAATTTAAGTAAACAATATAGGCCATACGAATGAAGAGAATTATCAAATATTTACTTATGAAGTGATAACAAGAAATAAAAACATATATGTATTTCAAAGTGCGCGTGCCCTTAAGAATCGATATCTAAGAGAAGAGAATTCAGATGAAAATTATTTCCAACAAGATTCATAAAATTCCTATCGCAATTTACTTTATGTAAAATTAAGAGTTACATAAAAAAGCGTAAGTTCATACACAAAACTAAGGAGAGAACAAATCTAAGGGTCAACCTGTCATATCGAATTAGAAAAATAAAAGTAAATTCGTCACAGCCCGTCATTTCCATTATTAGAATTAGAAATTTCCGTAGGGGTATGCAAGTCATGTATATAAATTATACTTCATAAATTAATTATCTACTCGATCGGTTTTAGGAGTGTTTACTTAAAAAATTATATTGAAACTACTACTAACATTCACAATGAATATGTTTTAACATAAATACAATTAATGTAATAAATTAAAGAGTTTTTATGTAGTCAATAATTTATCAAGATTTATTTGATTTATATGTATATAGTAAATATTAGGATTTTTTTGAAATCTATGTAAGTGAGTCAAATAAGAATAGCAAAATGATGTTACGTTAAAAAATTATATACATATAATATATGATGTAACGCCTGATAAGTCTTATGTTTTAAGTTTGGTTTTATAGAAACAGATATCTATTTTTCTAATTTATCATTATATCAAATTTATCATTATATCAAATATCTAGGCTGTTAAATAACAATTAAAGTGTATAGTCTATTTAACCCTTACAATGTAATTCTGTAGTATGTAATACGATATATCTTTGGTGAGACAATCGTCGCGAAAGAAAATATTTAGGAGTTTTACAAAATAAAATATTTGTTTAGTCCATTGTAAATTTTTTCATGGCTCACCACCCATTTTTCCAATTGGTACTGGATTAAATTAACAGTAGCTTATTTGTACTTACTTTATTTACCAAAATATATATTTTTTTCTAGATCCCAATTTGACGTCCTACTCATTTCTTTAGCGGCGTCTTTCAGAAGTAGGGTTGGCCCGTAGAGTAAAAAATCTCTCCTAATTCAGGGGCATTACTCTCAGTACATTAAAGTACTACCCTGACTTGTGATTGTGAGAATACATTTTGCCAAACTCTGAGATCTGGTCTTTACCCTTGGACAACCAGATGGCAAAGACTGACCGGAGGACCCCCTTTGCTGGACGATAGAATTGGAACTACTATTAATTAGTTAGCGCAATAGAATCTTTATAACCATCAAACCTTCAGACTCTTTAGCAAAACTGAATTGTGGGGGTTGTAATTTAAGTCTTGGATCAGACTGGAGCTCCATAAAAATAATGACTCTTACAACAGGGGGGAGTAGAGGCAAAACTTTTAAGCGACGTCAAATCTTAGAGCATAGATCTTCCTCAAGGTAGAAGAAACCCCAAAAACAGAAAGCCAAGGTACCCAGAAAATCTCCACCACTTACTGGCGGTCAACTACAACTGGTGGACACCCATGTATTACAACTGACTAACACTCTTTATCTGTGGTAGGAAAACCGGAGTTTTATAAGTATAGCTACTTATACAATACTGTAATCTCAACCTTTTATTTCTGATATTCTATATCAAAACATATTTAATATTATATTTTTATTTTAATAATAAATATGCAATAAGTGAAAATTATAATTAAAAACAAATATCGAACTTATTAAATAAAAGAGGCCGGCGTAGATAGATGAACTAAATAACATTATATTCCCTGTAGAGTAACGAAAATATATATAAAAAATGTCCAAGAAATATGAAACAACATTTATCTTAAAACCCAAACCCGTCTACACTATACAAAACCTTTGAGAGGACGTGCAAACAATTTCTCATATCAGCGGGTTAGACGTTTATTATACGCGGTTATCTCACAGTTGCAAGCGCGACGTCCCCGGGAATATATTGCAACTGTACATCAGATTTCATGACGTGTGACTCAGCATTTTGGGTATATTTATACCAGCAGTAAAACTCTGCTTATTTGAATGATTCAACTATCAGTATTTATAACAAGCAAGAAACCAATAAACTTAAATATATTATTATCATATTGCATAAAATTAGTTTATTTATATTCTTTTTGGTCAGTAACTATCGTATGAAAATAATTTTTATATTGTCAAAACATTTATCTTTAAACATTTTTGAACATAACTCAACAAAATGTTATACAAATATTCTGTAAGGAAAAATTTATTTCAAAAGTTCTGACAGTAAATTTAGCAAGTTGAAACAAACAATAAATAGTAGCTGTATCATAAAACACCTACATTTTGTAGGTGAAATTGATTCAATTTCTTATTTCAATTGAAAATATTTATCTCCGAGCTGGAAAAGTTCCGTGATCGTGAAGAAAACATTGCAAAAGTGCACAAAATATATTTTAGAATTCCAACACCTCTTTCAAGTACCATACTATTTGTCATCTTAAAGAAACTCACATTTTCTTTATATATTTTCTGTCTTTATTAGAAATTGCACATTGTGAAAAGTTAACCTTCGTGTGGATTCTCTATTTAAAAAGAAAAATATAACTCTTGAATCATCTGGCTTCCTATCTGTTAAGATATTATTTTTATACAATGCGGTTTAATGGAAAAAACAAATAAATATCGTAATCAAATGAAACTGTTCTAAAACAACTTTCGATTCTAGTCCTGTAATCGGTAATGGATTTTTAGTCTAATTAATTATCTACCACCACCACACCACCATCAGCTTATCAGAGCCCACTGCTGAGCAAGCCCTCTTCTCACATGGAGAAGATTAGAGCATTAATCACCTCGCTTGCTCAAGAAGGGTTGGTGATTTCAAACTTATCACTTGAAGTTATAAGTCCAGGTTTTCTCACTATGTTTTGTTTCACTGTCTGTCGGTGGTGTCTAAATACACTTGGAAAGTACATTTGAGTTGGAAAAATCACATTGGTACTTGCCAATATCTCTGTTATCAGGCTTATTGTCTATATCTCTGTTTTTTAAAAATAACATGATACACATTTCTCACAAAATCTGTATGAGAAAAACTTTTAAATCTATGGAATTTTGAGTATATTCGTTTGAAATATGCTACCACAGTTCTTAAGACAATTCTAACAATGATTTTTAAAAAATAAATGCTTTTAGGTTTATTAAATTAATATATATAAAAAAATCTGCAAATAACATAAAATTTCAGGTGAATCTGTTAAAGATAGTATATTATGGCTATTAGGTAAGGACATCAGATTTTTTTTAACCTTGCTATAGGAATCACAGAGCGAAGATAATTATGAGAATAAACTTAATAAATCGTCTTGACAAAGATCCTTATTACATCAATGATGATCTTCAACTGTATCTTTCTATTTTAACTCCAAGTAAATTCTAAATGTATTGCACAACTCAAGACTCCCTTACACAGTGGATATAATGTCAACAGAACCAGCGAATTTCGCAATGTGAATATCCACATACAAAGTCACTATTACACAGTAAACGTTTTTTTATAGTTTACCATTTATAATGTCACTTAGCGTGTCAACGAAGAGTAAGTGATAAAATTAAATGATTAATCTCAATTGGGACTTCAATTACTTTAACAAGTATGCAACTTGCTCATATTGAAGCTCGTTTGGTGAATAAAGCATAAAATATGAAATCATTTTCTAAATCATAAATATGTAAAGATGTAATTATTGAACAATTAGGGCTTACTAGTAATGATTTAGAATTCATAAGCCAGTGTAATCGGTGTCTATTTACGTAATATACGTATAACATAACACAAATATCAAATGAATATTAGTATAAATATCACATGACCGGTATTTTGTCATTGGAAATTAAAAAAAAAACTTTTAGCTTCAACCCAACAACTTTTTAACAAAAGGTACATCTGAAATACAATAATTTTCTTGCAGCAGTTGCAGTTTCGTTGTTTTGATGTGATTTAATATTATTACGTACATTGGTTCCACGCTATTCAAACGTAAATTATGTTTTATAGTCCCAGATATCAGTTGCGAAGCGAGACCCATTGTTTAACTATCGACTCTAGTAGACGGGTCTGGGGCACGAATTGAAAAATAAATATTTACAAACTCTTAAATAAGACATTTGGCTATAATAGCTTATATTTTTGAACATTAATTCAAATTTCAAAAATACTTATTGTGTATAAATTGTATACCGTAGATTATAACCTTGGCTTTCTATACTAAAGTTTATATAATTTCAATTAAAATTCTGATTTGATGAATATGTTTAAAACTCTAAACTAAAGTACTTGTAATGCGTATCAACACATAATTTGCATATGTCTGTTTTTTCATACCCAAATATAATCGTTGCTCGGTACGCTCGTTTCAGCAACACAAACAAAAGTTTCCGAGCAGTCTCGAGTTACCCTTTAATAAAAATAAAACACAACAACGGTTCATGATCCATAGTAATAACGGACGGATTAAAAACCGTCATAAAATATAACAGCTGCGAAAAAAGTGTAAGGAGTAAATTAGATATCATTTGAATTTAGAGAGAATTCTTCTTAAATTAATAATGTAGTAAAATATTTTTTTAAACATATGACAACGTTCAAATTCTTATTGAATTCATAAGATAGAAAAAGATATTTATATGTGCTTACTTTTTCTTAAATTTTAATAAAATAAGGTTATATTTTCACTACTCCCATCTAAAACACTAAAGTATTTTATTTTCTACAAAGACGTAATTCTTATGACTTATACCAAAACTTAAGGTTTTTATTAATGTTTACAGTCCTTTAAAGAGAGTTTCAGATTTTTTTATAATGGTTGTGATTTTGACAAATTAAAATATAATTAAAAATAAAATTATTCGTTGATAATGAAATCGCTAAGAAAATATTCATAATTATAAATTTAAAAAAAACTGTGATAAAAAATTTAAGTGGAATCAAAATGATTTTAACGGTCCTAAAGTATACAAACAACAATTTTGTTTTTTAGCGTCTTAAAGTCTGTTCCTTTTTGTTAAAAAGTTTTAGATTTTTATTGAAAGTAATAAAAAAAACCACATAAATTTTAACTTAATATTGACATAGGTTAGTCAATGGTCGAATCTACTTTTAATATGACAATATTTAGTGTACATTTTATGATACATATATTGAAACGCTTAAACTTTTGTGAGATTTAACTAACAATTAAATAAACGATATATTGAGTTCAATAACCTTCATGCACATATATATCCTATTTTCAAAACCAACATTTATGCTCATCGTTGCTGCGTTTTTGTGGCTTTTATACAGAATTCTCTGTGCTTTGTTTGAAATCACTCTATTGTTATTTTCGCTGTATTACACAAATTAATAGTAAATTCTTTTTCCTAGTATCTGTATAGTAATCTGATGTCCTTTCAATATAACGGCTTTCAGCGAATACAATACATAATAACCACATTGTATCCAAATAAATTCCTATACTACTAAATGACGTTCAATGTATGTGTTTTTTAGAAGGTCTCATTAGTTATATACATAGTTTTCCAATAATCTATATTTCAGAGATTAGTGTGTTTATTAACATGAATATATAATATGAATGTATTTATCGATATATTTTTCTATTAAACAATAATAATATTGCATTAATATATTTTTTATTTAATTGATTAACGATATTAATTTAATAATAGATAGTTATAACGCCTTTAAACTAATCTCTAAATGACACCTTTAAAAACAGCTTTTGAAATAAAACATTGAAACCTTATCATTAGTAAAATATATCACAATTCCATTGTGAATGAAGATAAACAGATTTGATACAGAAACTAAAAACTAGAAAAAAACGAGAGATAAAAAAATATATAATTTAATCATAAAATAGTACATGATTTATTTTTAAAATAATTTTAAATTGAATATTAGCATATTTAAGTATAATAATAAGATAATTAAATAAGTCGTCATAAAGGACTTTTCAGTGCAAAAAATTAAAAAAATTATGACTATTAGTTTTTACCTAACTTCTTTATTGTAAATTTCAGAATAGAGTACAAAAGGAACGTATACAAAAGATACAGCAATCAACCGATAGCTACATCTACATTCTATGTCACTTGACTTTCTACAAAACACGACCTCATTTCACTTAATTCTAAAGTATATTACAAGCCAGTCTAGTCTAAGTTACATTTGTGTAGAGTATCAATAGAATCCCTCTTTTAATTTTTGAATAATAGAGCAATAAATATATGTACATCTTCACAAACTTTACATTTATAATATTAGTAAGATGTCAGGGCTTACTGCAAAGTATTGACCCCCAGTAAGGTAATCAGATGTAATTTGCTGTTTTACTTTTAGAAGTTAAAGTTTTTAACTAATTAAGTCTTTTAAAAAGTGGAACATTAATTTTGTTCATCACGCTATATATATAACTTACCACAACTAAAGTTTCCTTAGAGATAAATAAATCAAAATAATAGATTATATTTATCATTAGGATATCAAAATTTTAAAAAATATTATTTCATAACAATCAATAACTCTTGATATTTGTGTGGATATTTTCTATACCGAATCTACATAGATTCGGTATAGAAAATATCCGCACAGGGACATCCCTGGAAATATTGCCAGGATCACAAAAAAAGTATACTTATTCTTTATCAAGATCCTCCCAAGGACTAAAATCATAAGATTTAAATTTCACACAACATAATTTTTTAAAAGAATTTTAGTTGGTGTGAGAATTTGCACAGTCTAGCCAGTAGTTTCTGGTCTATTTTTTCTTAGTTAGGATATACAAATTATTTGATCCTCCAATAATTGTTGCCAAAAATTATTTATTTAGCTGTGTCATGCATAGTCAGAACCAAAGTAGAATTTACCGTTACTATAAACTTTCTTATAAATTCATGAAGTAAGGAAAAGTAAGTAATATTTTTACCAATAACACATAAATATCTTAAAGACTTTACAAGAATACACTATGAAACATATTATATTTATTAATTATTTAAATTAAATTTCTTTTTAATTAATCCCTAATGAGATTTACGGCTATCACGAGTAGTGTGTCTGTGATTACGGTTGCTGAAAAGTAACCGAAACATCACAAGTATGTAATTTTTACAATAATAAAATAGGCACAGTATAATGCGAAAAAAAAATTAGTGTCATTTTAATTAATACTTGTTTAAATTTACTTCTTAATATCAAGTTTTGTTTTATTGATATTATTAATTTATAAGTTTTGATTATTTTATCCTTTTCGTGACATTGTTGATTAGATACAATTCAAGTACATATATTAGTACAAACATATCGGATAAATATTTCTCAAATGATTCATGATAAAAGTTTAGTATTACGTAATTAATGTATTATTTTATATTATACTTCTTGTAATCCAAAGTACCTTAATTGTACTTCCTAAGACTGTAACATAATTGAATATAACGTTTGAAATTATACAATGAGGTCAGTGAAGGCGGAAAGTTGATAAGGATGATACTACACTGTTTATCTATATCAGATATAACTATATCTTCAGAACTACATAATCATTCGATAACAATTGACGTAAATATAATGCGGACTTTTAATCGATTTCGAAAAATTTTGCTGCATTATTTTGTTGTTGAGAAAACATTTAGGTAGAAAACGTTTACTAGCTCTTAGAATGCTACCAAGTAAAAAAAAAAACAACTGAAATTCCTAAAACACTAATAATTTATCTTAAAATGATATATACATAATTACTATAAAATTTTTAGGTTAATCTGAATTTATAAATTTAATATAATGATTTAATTCATGTGAAACTTTACCAATAAAATGATAATTTTTGAATTATAATAATATTTTAATGATATATAATTACAATATTGTATTACCATAATAAACTTACAATTATAATTTCATTAAAAACATTATTGTAAAATTTGAATTTTAATTAATGGTAGTAACATTTATATTTGATGATGATGTATCGTATTATGCCGACCATCAGTCTTGTGACCTTGCTATCTTAAATATAGACCGCCGCCCGCCGCCGTCGCCAACAACTTCTAGACGAATACAATCGTTCAAGCTACACCGTCCATCTTATCACTGAAAATGGCTGAACGATTACACCGCAATCGACTAACACTGGCCCCTGTCGATCTGAAACATTTTAACAAGTGCAAAATCATATTTGATGTTGTTTAGTTACGTGCTAAGTGTGGTGTGATATATTAAAAATGTCGTCAGCGTCTTCGACCACGGGAAGAAAGAGTTAGTAGTTTATTAATGGAGATATATGTATTTAGTGTTAATAATATATTTGTAACATAAATAAACAAATAGTATTCATTTATGTAAAGAAATTAGATTTGTTTTAGAACTATTTCTTGATACTCGATTCTTATAATAATTTTATGTGTGGAACTGCAGTAATTTAGAGTGTACGCTAAACTATGAAATGAATTTCGTTATGAATAGTTTCACATAATTCTTGTGTTATATATGTGTTATGCATGCCTGGAGCTATTTATCTGACTTGCTTTGACGTATAAATCAGTACAGATTTAATAGTGTCTTTGTTTTCCAAAGCTTATGATTAATAAAATGATACTTACATAATTCATAATTTACACACTAAATTTGCATTGTAATTTCTCACAATGAAATAGAAAATAAATTTATAAAGTTTTTATTTATTGAAAAGGTATTTAAGAAATTTACTATGATGACGTGATTTGTTAAACTTAAACATAATGTTTAAAATGATATATTTAAACTTATATAACGATATTTGAATGAACGAATTTGAGTATAAAATTAAAGTTGTTTACTCTTATAAAACATATAACTAAATAATAGTCCCTTTACATAATTCACAGCTAATACTTTAGCCCCTGGGAGAGATGACGGACTCACGGGTCGGTTAACTCCCAATTACGTTGATTACATTAGTGCTAAACTATGTGTTTGGCATACACCTAAACATTAGAAAGTCACATAGTTTAACAAACCCTTCTAAATGTTTTCACTTTTACATTATAAAATCAAATTACGACTTCAAGTAAAATATACTACATTTCATACATAGTTTGTGTGATCCTCATGTTGAGACTTATTCAGTTTTTGTATTAATAAAATACTTTTTCAATTCATATGTTAGAATAACTATGTAATCCTTTGCTTACTTTCTGTTTCAGTGGTGCTAAGTACGCTACTGGAGACTGACCACTATGAGAGTATAATCAAGGACCTCACTTGTACCAAATGCAAACAGTATATGAAACCACCAATATACCTTTGCGTGGATGGCCATAGTATATGCGGTAAATGCTATGAAAAGAGTTATCAATGTCATATTTGTCTGGTAAGTGTATGAATATTTGCTTTCTATCAACGGAATTTAAAATCGTTTTAAATTTTATTTGGTTTGAACTGAATTGAACTGAACTGAACTGTTGAACGCTACGTAAAGGTTGAAACACTAGCCTATGTGAGTCGAAACTCTGATTCGAATCCATCGCAAATATGTGTATGATTACTTATATTTATCCAAACGTGGTCAATTTGGACACCCGCATACGTTGTTAGAAATTTTAAAGTACGAAGCAAGTTAGATTAGAATTATGTGGTGGACTGAGTTCCCTTCCATGTAAGAAAAAGCGGTCTTAGTGGCTTATTAGAATTAGCATTATTTTTTAAAATATAAGGAAAAAATACCTTAGCTCCTTTTTGTGTATATTTTTATTTATATAATAGATAAATAATTTCTACACGCTATATTTAATTTTCACCTTGTAATAGTATTTAAAAGTACTTACCTAATTAGATTAGTGTTCGTATGCTGACATACTCGTGCAATATAAGTCGATATTATGGTTGACCTTTACACAATACGTTGATTAAATTGAAGTATCATTGATATTCTAATACAAATGAAATAATTTATGTGTAGTTATGAAGAATATTTTGACACCAAGTTTTTTTTCATCATATTATGAAGTCAAAGAAATTAACAATCTCAAATATATAATATATAAACATCGTGTTTCAGAAAGAATTTGCTCTCATCCGTCCAGTCGTACTGGAATCCCTAGCCAATAAAGTGTTATTCCCTTGCACTAATGGAGGATGCCCAAAACACGCAACACTTCCAGTATTGGAAAAGCACACACCCCACTGCCAATTCCGCATAATTAACTGTTTCATGGCTAGAGTTTATGGTAAGACTTTTTATTTATATATAGAGTACACCTAGCTATAATAAAATAAAATTAAAACGAAACCTTTGAAAACGTGACTATATTTCTTTTCTAATAATTTTCGAGAGTCTGAATGGATATGGATGACATTTATAATGGAGATAGATTATACACATGAGCATGTATCTTTTGTAAAAGAAAATAAAGTTTTGACTAGGATAGAGTTGGTTATTATGGATATCCCGATACATATATGGTTTATATAAAATATAGACAAAAATACATATGTTTATATATAGAATATCATCACAACTGTATAAGTAGTTTAATATCATATTATTTTATTTTAATTTTTGCATGGCTGAGGAAAAAACAAATATAGCACTTTTATATATACATACATTGTTATTATGGGTTTGATATCGCAACAGGTAAAAGAACTTCAACAGTACGTTTTATTGAATATTATTACTTCATTTTTGTTTTGTCTTTCGTTATGAATTATATGCTTGACTATAAAAGGAAATCGAAGTTGCAATCAAAATCCAGCAAGGAAAGAAAAGCAAAACAATTCACATTCAATAAAACATAAGTTGCAAATCGTGTTTCATGAAACGCTATTGGGTACAATAAAATAATTGCTTTCTACACTTCACAATAACTATGTAAATAATTTACATTTTTATTATACGATCAAGTAATATACAATTCCTGCAACTAATAAAATTTCATATGTACTCTTAATATTGCTGTATTAAAAACATATTTTTGTAAAAAGAGAAACTGTAATAAAATTTGAATGTATTCAGGGAAACAAAATTGATAATTATAATTTATTGGGATTATTCCCAAGGAAAATTATTATTCCTTTGAGATTTTTGTGAAATAAGCAGTGTATATTTAACAAACAAGAACTCCTTTTATATTAACTTGCTTTTAGGAGTGAGAATATTATCATTTTGTTCGTCTGGAACGCGGTGTTATAAAAAATTATTGTACCACATTTAAAAAAAGCCAAATGTCTGTTGAAATTGTTTTTATACTTATGAACCTTATTTGGGTAATCATGAAAGATGAAAATAAATTATAGAATATCTTCTGTATTTTATTTTATATTTATGAGATAGAAATTTGATTTATTCAAGGTAATTGTGCATGGGAGGGTCGGGCTGGCGAATGGATGGACCATTGCTTTTTGGAGCACAAACAAAAGGTGACCGAGTTGCCTTTTATCACTATTAAAGATAAATGGGATGCTAAACGGACAGAGCCTGTTCTCAACTATTTTTTACTGAAATGCTTTGAAAAGATTTTCAACGTCTACCAGATATACGACAAAAGAGGTGGTAAGTCTTTGTTAACTAAAATAAATACTAATGAGTAGAAAAAAAATATGAATGTTTTTTTTATTATATTTTATACATCAGTTTAATAGAATTGAAATGGAAAAATTTTAGCTGTATTTTAACTCCAATCCGTGTTTTTTAGGAAGAATGATGTGGACTGTTCTTGTGAATGATGAACACGCTGATAAATTTTATTTTGAGGTGGACATTTTTTTACCAAATCTTCCATGCAAAAGGATCGTTTATAGGTATGAAGAAAAATAAGACGGACTTTTCATAAATGTGGCCCAAAATTAAATGCCTAATCTTGTTTTTCGTAAATGACATTTTTATCTTATCGTTATAATAATTTTCTGGGTTTGAAATAAATTTTCCTCAAAAGTTTTGAAGCAAAAAGTTGAATTTTTGTTGATAAATTGTCGACACGAGTGTTTTAATTTTCAGTAATCTAATCTTGTTCCAGACGGCCTTGTAAGTGCGAAAAAGATGCTGATTTTCTCGAGCATACTCAGAACGTGTACATTCCCGTTGAAAACGTGTTTTCAATGCTGGACGAGGATGAATCACTGAATTTCACTGTAAGAATTGGTCAGTATTCTCAATGTTACCCTAATACTTTTGCAGCTCCTAGTGAATGTATTAAAATGTATAGTAAGGTTGCTTTTCAACAAATATCTCAGGAATATTTTTAAACAGACTGCAAACAAAGACTTATTTTTTAACCCTTCGAAACAATTTCCATAAAAATAAAATAGCTACGGAAGTACTTTCAGTAGAAGAAAAGTAAGAAATACTTTTTTACAGGCGAGGTTGAAAACTTGCCCCTACTGGAAACGCCCACGGCGAGCGAAAGCTTGATACTACTGAACAACGAGGAACATAAAGAGGATTAAAACAGTCTATTGTGTCATTTTCAACTTCGACGTTAAATAAATGTTTGTTGTATAGAATATTCTTTGCACTTTAGTTATAACTAAAGTATGTTGTTAGTTAATTGTTGTTGCCCCCTTAATAAAGTTTTTTGTATTGTTTGGATATTATTTTAATTCTCAGCCAATTCCTAATTTCAATAAAGACCGAAATATTGTTATTAAATTTAAATTCATGTTTATAAGTATATGAAATAGGGTGGTTAAATAAGAGTTTTGTTACTCGAGTAATATGATATAGGATAAATATATGTGGAATTACTGATTCTTTGAAGTGCAATATAAAAAATAAATATAAAAGTAGTTAATTTTTAAAGTCAAGTTTATAAACCGTTATTTTCCTTTATTACATTCTGTATACACAACAGTGATAATAACAGAATCGACATACATATATGTTACTATAAGTTGATTAAGATTCGCATGACACAGAACTAAAAAAATGTTACCTTTAAACATTGTTAGGACAAACAAATGTTTTAGTATTGATGATATTGTACTAAAAATGTAAACGAACCGTTCACTCATATTACAATAAAAATATAATACAGTCGATAGCATGATGTTAAAAGAACTGAGAGAAAATATAAAGGATAGTTAACATCACAAAGAAAACACTCCTTTGTTATACTAACATTCACAATAATTTTCGAACCAGTTATTTGAATATTTGGTAGAGACAATTGATACAATAATATTAAAATAATTTTCTTTTATTGTAAATATAATTGGAAGGGTGAACTATGATGTACGTGATAAAATAGAATTCGTAGTACATTGAATATATTACAATGGTTTTAAACACGTACAAAAATAAAAAGAACTAAGATTTTTGATATTTATTTGAATGATAATACAAAAAAATGAGGCTGCTCAATAAATAGAGGCATTGGTTAAGAACCCGTAAAAATTAATTAAAATTTTGTGTGTTTAATCATCACGTAACATATACCTATTCAAGAGCAGAGATGTAAAATTCTGCCACACTTGTAGATCTTTTTTTCTAATGACTTAACATAAATACTTAAAATTAAATCAATTTCAAGGAACCAGAGTTCCATCCAAGATTCTAAACATAATATGAGGTCATTTGCGACACTTGATGATGGGTCCACATTTATAATGGAACTTTTCTTCTTGTTCATTACCAATGGTACTCGTACTAAAATAAGCCGAAAAGAATTTCCTCGGGTTCTGTATTATGTAACGATCGGGATAATTGACGACATTTCACACCGGTAGATACTATCTATTTTCTATAGATACTCTTTTAGTATTACATGCTTTTTCCACTCAATGTGGAATAATACGAGAATTACGTTTAAAAAATTATTTAATTACATAATACAAATTTTTTGAACTAACCAGATTAGATCGGATGTTATTATATATAAAAAAATTGATTTGCAAAAGTTTATTCATTCATTCTTGTAGTCAAATAATATATTATTAAATTGATATTATGATATTACAAAATAATTAAAAAGATTTTTTAATATTTATAAAAAAATATATGTCTTTATATTTTTGGGAAACTACAAAACTTGAAAAGGGGCTCGTGTCCCTTACAGTAATATATATATATTTTATATTGAAACTAGAAAAAGAAGAACCATGGTGTTAAATGATAATCTTACTAGGTATCTTTGTATTTTATAAATTTTATCGAAGATCCCAAAATTGTAAACGGAATCAAATCCAGACGCAGGCAAACTGTTCCATCTACGTAGGTATGAAAGGTACGTAGTCTGTAAGGTTACCACTTATCTCTTCTATAGAAAAAGAAGATATGCAAGGAAATGATTTTGTATAGCAGAGCATCTGGTTATCTCAACCTAGAAAGGGGTGGAGGTATAATATCGTGCCAATCATTAGCATAGTATCCGTAAGCATATTATCCTTGTAGTGTAATAATACTTTTCCGCTTATTCTCAAGGATCGCTTGATTCATTTTAGCTAACGGTGGCAATCAATAATTAATTAATACTTTTTGCAAGCCTATTTACGAACTCAGAAGCTAATGTAATATTTTGAAAATTTTTCCAAGGTTAACTTTATAGAATTAAACAACTCATTATTATGTAGTATCAGAAAGTCCGAGATCAGATCACAGGATATAAAACTTAGAAAACATTAAAAGATATTGCTAGAAATTAGTTACTACTCTCTAGAGCTCTCCCCCATTAATTTAAGGCGCCTTTTATCTTTCATAGCTTGCTATTATTTTTTAGAAGATCCAAAAAATAATGAACTTCAAGCTATTTATTTGATTTTTTTTCCTCATTTACTACAATTTTTATCACGTTTTCACCCCTTTGCAAAATAACCAGTTTTTTTTTCGCATTAACTTTTTCATTAATATTTGTAAATATTATGCAATTGGAACTATTTAACATTCCTTAAACGTAAATTTAAGATAAAGTAAATGATAATAATCTAAAATAAACTTATATGGAAACGAAATTCCATAATTTCTCATCCTTATTTGATGTCTTTGAAATTTCAATATCCCAAAGCAAATATAAAACACGTCTAAAACATTACCACAACAAGCATATAACATAATGGATGGTACACAAGCCCGGGAAGCAATTTGTCTGTAAAGGGAATGTTTCTGTTGACAGAGACCGGTTCTATTTCATATTTAAACTGAAGCGAGTTTGACTCTCTTGCTGCTATTATTTAACAAAGGCCACTTCTATTAGATTCATTTTACAAAATTATTTTTTTATTGCTTCTCTTCATTCAGACAGTGTCTTATTGGAATAAATAAAAATCTTAATGCTATACGTTCAAATGTTAAGACAAACTGATTCATAGAAAACTAATACTTTCTTATTACTATGCGTTATTTTATTATTTTTTAAAGCTACATAGTCCCGTGCGAACTAATCAGAAAATATAAGTTTCATTTAAATAAATACCCGCGATAGTTTTAGATCTCATAACATTTATAGTAAGCTTCGACAAAAGAGACAGAAAGTACGTTAAGGCTACCACACCATTTAATTTATGTTATATTTTATTCATTAGCTGCATTAATTCATCAACATCATTTGATAAATATGCATCAAATTTTATTTCAAATTTAGATGCTTAAATCAAAATTAAATAGTTGTTTAATTATGATATTATACTATTATATTATTTATTGTAACTGTCTGGTTAAGTAATATTAGAGTTGTTCATTACAAAGCCTGACAATCTGATTACCCAACACAGCCAGATGGTACGCAATCACAGCTGAATGTTGCTTCATAACAAAAATTAATCTAGATTAAATTCATCACGAACAAAACAATTAACTTTTCTAAAACCTGAGCGAAGTTTAAAACGTTTAAATGTGTCAAACGAATGTGGTAGCATTATTAATAAGCATATTTTGTATTTTTGTCTGAAAAAGATTATGACATCCATATATCAAATATGTTTAAGAATCTCTTCAATTAAAGGTTATTTTAAGTTCTCTTTAATACCATTAATGTAATCATTTAAATTCATTACTACTAAACGTAAGCCGTCGGCATCATAAATTTATTTTAATTTCCATAAAGCCGATTCTCAATGGAATCATTATTTTACTCTCTTAAGATCGTTTTCAGACGAGAGCCAATTAATTTACTTGTGCTCCTAAATTGTCTGTTTCGGAGGAGACTTGGAAACAATTTTATTGTAGTACAAATGTTTTACAAAGATATGTTAAAATTTCTGTTAAAATCTTTTAAGAGAAAAAAAATATTTTTTGAGGGTGAGAAACAGTTGACTATGTATCGTAATTAAAGTTGGATATCAATGTAGACGGATAAATAATTATACATATAATTAAAACAAAAATTATTATTGAGCACGTTCAAATTGGTTGAATATAAATTTAGAAAAAATATTAAGAAAGAAGATTAGTTACATTAGAGAAACGTTTGATGTATTTTTCTATGAAAAATTATGCCTTTGGTTTAAAGCCCACTTTTTATAGCGCTATTTATGTTCGTTGAACAGCTGGCTTTCTTTAATTAATTTATTATATATGAAAAATAGCAATTAATACAAAACACTAAATAGTGATTAAAAGATCATTATCGCTTCAATATTGATATATTAGTAAGGGATCCAAATTTTTTTAAGAGAATCATATTATTTCCTACAAAAGATATTAGTTTAAGAAAAACTTCTAGAACCGAAAACATAAGATAATTGTACAAAAAACTACTGCAATGTAATTAATCTAAACAAAGCATGTAAGTTGCACTCATCGCTTTAGTTTTTCCCTCGAGCTCATTTCTTTTCAGGTCTGTTCTTTTTGAGATAATAACAAAAAACCTACACGTTCTTTTAAGAAAAACAAAAGTCAGCACTGTTATTTTACAAAAGCTCTCTAGTTATTTCAGAAGTTAACTTCTTGAAATTCTTAGATAGAGATAATGTGTCGTAAGGTCATTTATAAATTATACACGATAAAGGTGTAACGAAAAACTCACAGCCCTGCTACCTACAAGGACTATCTAAGTTCATTATGAGTTTGCAAGCTATCTGACGGTGATAAAAATTGGCAACCTTAATAAATTCATTTGTGGACACTCCTAGCTCAAGTACATTCATAAATATTACTGTAGACAGAAAGTTCGTTTTATAATAGTTTTTATTTCTACGTGACTTAGATATATTTGTATATATGAAAGAACGTTGTGTCAAGGATCTACGGGCCTTTTTTGTTGTTTTTATATGAAATGTGATATGAATAAAAAATAAACATACTACATATATTTTACATTCAATTTTTGTTCCAGAAAAAGGTGACTTAATAAGGGATGAGGGAGACGTATGTCCAGCAGTGGACCTCACTTGGCTGAATTGATGATGATGATGATGAATTTACAGTGATCAGTGATGAATAATAAGTAAATATTTACATATATAATATATACAAGATTAGTATTTAAATTAAACGATATCTTAAAATTTACTTA